AATTATTTATAAACATGGTAATTCATAGCATTTTGCACTGCATGTTTGTAAAATGTATTATATTATAATCTAGGAAACCTTTCCAACAGTAAGTAGACCAGATTTCCATAATAAACAAAAGGATCTTGATCTAGATGAATCACAAGCAGTAAAGGCCAGAGCGATGTTGTTTGGGGTAGAAAACACACACTAACTTGTGATCATAACACACTTCTGTTGTTTATGATACAGTGACTTAAAACCCAGAGAACTTTTATTTGACTTTGTGTGTGTGTCTCTATCTCTCTTTTGCCCAACACTTTTAACTCATTCAATTGGACAAAAACAAGGCAACAAGCTGGCAAAATGTGTTTGAATCCACCAAAATGCATTGAAACACTTACTGGAAATTGCAATTTCTGAAAGGCTTAAAACAAGTGAACACCACAAAATGTACTGGAATGCACTAGTGTTACTCAAAAGCTCCAAAACAAACCAACGCTGACTGGAATTTGCGCACTTTTGCCTCATCGCATCAATGGAGATCTCTTTTACACGTTCTTGTGCTTCAACTGACAGCCTAAATATGTGGAATACATTTCTCCAAGTAACAGCAAACGGCTGCCGTCTCTAATATTAATCAACATTAAAAGACAAAATCAACTTTAGACAGAAGAACGTCAAGCACTGTATTTGTGTTCTGTTGCTTATTTCTGTATCACTGACTGCTCACTTGGCTTCAATGATGTTTTAACTTTATGTAAATTAGGCTAGTAGTTTGTACTCTAAAAATAAAGGAGACCCTTTATGCAAAAATCACTTTTATAAGGTGTTTAAACACTTCTGTTGTAGGAGTCTGTAAAAATAACCAGCTTCTAATAGTAGAAATGTATTAATCTTAGTTTTTTTTTAATCGCACTTGATAAAAACACTAAAACAGTGTGCAGAAACACTTTGATTGACATTCTTCCTTTGTACATGTCATCAAAGGGGAAAGCCCCGCCCATTAGTGATGATCTCACCATCATTAGCATACATGGTTAGTCTTGTTTTTAAATCTGCCACTATGCTGACTTATAGGCATTTGTAGCTCCGCCTTCTTTTGAAAAAAAGAACATTCTCATTTGAATTTAAAGCGACAGTCACCAAAATGGCACAATCTATCCATCCATCCATCCATCCATCCATCTGTCTGTCTGCCAGTAAACAGTTTGTCAGACCAAGTGAAAATCTGGACTAGCCCAGTGAAATGAAGAAATTAGCAAATAAATAAAAACTGCTATTTTAATTAATGCTTTAGCGGCAGACTTGGTACTTAAAATAGTATAGCGTGTCAATATTTTTGAGGTTTTAAAGGTAAAAATCCCAGTATCATGACAACACTATGCATCATCAACAATATAATAACAACATATAGAATATGTAACAACATAGATGATCACAACAATGCACCATTGAGGTATCATACATTAAATTTCACTCAATGCCCCAAGTGTGTAAGATTCTAAATCCATTTGAACACAGCAAAAGCATATCAGTATATACTGTACATGAACTCTTCAAAACCAATGATTGGCCCACACGGAATCATCTGCACACATTTTAGCCCTTCATTGAGTCTATTTGTTTACTTACGCAAGTGTGTGAAACATACCTAAAAATATGTAAGGTATTTTTATACAAATTTTAGATATATTATTGAATAATATTCATATGTTTATACGATTTAAGTCCAATACAGTTTGTGAAGTAATACTTTCTACCTTTTAGTAAATACATTAAATGTGAGATATACTTTAACAATCAAGCAATTCTAATTGTAAACCAACAAATAAAGGTTAAAAAAATTGTTTATTTTTTATTTCAGGAGTCTTTAGTTGAAATCCTCTCAAAATCATTCGGCATACTCCACATATTTTGGTTGCAAAATTCAGAGGAGAAAAAGCTACATTTCTGTCTGACCCTGTGAATGCTACTTAAAATAATTTCAAATCTTTACAAAATCCTTTCACACCATGTTCTTTATGCCTACATATATTAAAACATTGTGTTTACTATAGTAAAACTGTTGTCCAGCTCATTTTTTTATATTTCCATTGATTTATTACTAATTCACTGCTTAAAAGTGATGATTTAATTGTAGATGTGTGGCTTTACTACAAAAAAACCTGGACTATGACCTACTGTATCATATCTCAGACGGTATAAAGTTATTACTACTTATCAAACACGTTAATCATCACTTACTGAGGTAAAGTTGGTTTTATGTTTGCACATTTGTTCGTTTTTATGAATAGTGTTGTGACACGATTCCTATACATCGTACTGTAACAAATTACAAATACTAAAACTACTATAATGGAGTAGTTTTTCCTCAGGAATTGTAATTTACTAAGTAGTTTTAAAAAATTTACTTTCTCTTGAGAACATTTTCAGTGCTGCATTGGTACTTTTACTCCTCTACTTTCCTTTAACCTGCAGTCACTACTTTATTTTTTTCTTGTCTATGGGGATTAGAAAATCCAGTCCTGTGATTCCTGTCCAATCAAATCGCACATAGAAGGTAAATCACATCATAATGAACAACTTCAAGAGATGGACGATTATATTTGCAGCAAACTGTTTGGAAGCAATAAAAGTGTACAAGATGTCCAAAATCTTTACACGCATTCACCCAGAGACTGTTTAGATGCATGTCACTGATGAGAAGATTATGGATGTTTAATGTATAATGACCTAACGGGCCTTAAACAGCCAGCTGGCACAAGATGTCAACATGACGTCAGATTGACGTTATACACCAACCTTGTTGGGACATTGCATTTTGTTTGGAAATGAAAATTTGGCATCAGAACCCAACATCAATGTCCAACCTAAAAATCAACCAAATATCAATGTCTAATGATGTTACAGCTTGACGTTGTGTGGACGTTACCACTTTGACGTTTATCAGATGTTGGATTTTGGTTGCCATCCTTAACGAATAAATGTCAGTATTCGACATCAATGGGACGTTGGTTAAAGATGTTGGCTCAACGTTGGATTTTGGTTACTTTTAAACACAATTTAAAATCAACAAAATATCAACGTCATTTGACGTCGTTATAGGACATCAAAATAATCTTGTCCATAGACGTTGGCTATACATCAAATTTTGGTGACATCACAACCTAAAATTAATGGCTTATGACATTGTGAGCTTGCTGCCAATAACTAAATGCACTACAGAATGTTACGTTTACACACATCCACAAATTACATGTAAAAGCATCAGCTTTTTACAGCGTTATACTCACTACACTCTCAGAAAAAAAAGGTACACAATAGTACAAATAATGTTCCTTGAGAAACAGTTTTGTACCTTTGTAAAAAATTGTATCTTGTATAGTACAGAGAAGACCTCTTATGATACTGTTCTGTACCTTTTATGGTACAACTGAAATGAAGTCACACAATTGTTCTCATATAAAATGTACAAAAGTGTTAAATAAATCCTTCTTTATTACAATATCTATAATATTAAATATTACTGGAAAGGCATAGTGATTTCATAAATAATTCCCATATTAAAACAAGAATCATCATTTAAAAGCATATCTTTAAAAAAACGTATAAACATTAATTATTAGGTTCTATAATACAAAACAACCGGTAAAACATTAAACTATAGGTATTGCTCCAGAACGCAGCAGCACAAGGGGTCTTTAACAAACCTAAAAGAGCACATGTCACTCCGCTGCTCATCTGTTTGCACTGGCTGGCAGTTGCTACTCACATCAAATTCAAAGCTCTGATGTTTGCCTACAAAGCGACTTCTGGCTTTGCTCCTTCTTATCTGCTCTCACTTCTGCAGATTTATGTGCCCTCCAGAAACTTGCGTTCAGTGAATGAACGTCGCCTCGCGGTTCCATCCCAAAGAGGGAAGAATTCACTTTCCCGAACTCTCGCATTCAATCAACCCAGTTGGTGGAATGAACTCCCTAACTGCATCAGAACGGCAGTCACTTGCATTACTAATGCTTTCCTTCTTAGACTTTACACACCTGAAACTTGCCTACAGCACTTATTCATTGTTGCTCTTATAGTTGTTTAAATTGCTTCCTTGTCCTCATTTGTTGTAAGTCGCTTTGGATAAAAGCGTCTGCTAAATGACTAAATGTAAATGTATTGTCAACTAAACATTTAAGGCATTTTACATACAAGTTTGGTGAGCATTTTTGACACTGTTAAGGTACAAAGTGTCTTGTCACTGTGGTGGTAACTTCTTGGATCAGATTTGTACCTTTGATGAAGGTACAATATTGTATCTTAATATTTAAAAGGTAGAATTTGGTTTACCACGGTACAAATCAAGTCCTTAAAGTTACAAACTGCTATGGTACAAATTTGTTTCTTTGACTTAAGGTACAATCCTGTCCCACAAATAGTATTACCCCAGTGACAAGGGTTTGTACCGTCTTTGGTACAACATTGTACTATTTTTTTCTGAGAGTGTACTCACTACTCTTGAGTACTTTTAAAAGGGCTACTTTTTACTCATACTTTGAGTAATATTTACAACAGACACTTTTAATCTACTTGCACTACATTTTTAGGCAGGTAATGGTACTTTTACTTGAGTATGTTTGTTCAGTACTCTCCCCCATGAGAAAATTCGGTCTGAAATCGCATGTATGACTTCAAAACAACCTCAGCACTATTTAATTAACTGTGAACAGTGTTGTACTTTGACAGTCATTGGCTGCTATTGATTTCCCCATATAGAATTTGCAAGAATACTTTTCAGGAATGATATTAAGGAGAAAGTCTAAATGTGCGGTTAAAAAAACAACTTTACTTCAATACATCAGCTAGCGGATCTCTGAACAGCAGCGCGCACTTTGTAACGGTAATGATGCGGAAGTCGTGAACGTTTAAAGACAGTCGGAAAAAATGCCACCAACCAAACATGAGATGTCAGTATATTGTATAACATGGCATGTTAAATCGTCTTATATAACGTTGCGTGGATTCAGACTTACCACTTGGTAGCGGCTCGCCGCCTGGTCCATTTTCATACACGGCCAGCCCAGCAAGCGGTGAACAAAACCAGAAAATCCTTGATTTAATCAAATTAAAGTCGGGTCTCGATCTTACTTGAGATCATACGGCTCGGATTCTTTATATACAAAAAAAGGCAGCTCTTTCCATTCACAGTACAGCCATGATTTACCGCAAACGCTCATGCAGATGCTGTCGCGTCCTGCCCCAAGAAACAAAGCGAGTGGGAGGAGTAGTCCGTGACGCAAGCATGACGTTGCACTGTGCACGTCAAACTTATTTTTTTTAGTAATTTATATCCCCCAAAATTGTATTCTTCGGTTACTCTCTGAACCTAGACCCCTCTCTTGTAAATTTATAATTAATTCGTTCCGTTTTCTGGCAAAATTGTACATCCATGAATGTAAATTTTCAAAGAAACACCTTTACTTTTCATTTTCAGAAAGAATTTTGAGTCACATGTGATCTCCTTAAAAACTCTAATAATAAAATTGCATGTAAAACTCTAGGTGTAAAGCTTCTAAACTTGTATAATTTGCTGGGATTTATTTAAATAACACTTTTTTATCTCTTAGTTCATGTTGTGTTGTTGTACTTTCCTGCATTATACAATATAATATTCATTCAGTATATGCATTAATATTCATTCATTCATTTTCTCTTCGGCTTAGTACCTTTATTAATCCGGGGTCACCACAGCGGAATGAACCGCCAACTTATCCAGCACGTTTTACGCAGCGGATGCCCTCCCAGCCGCAACCCATCTCTGGGAAACATCCACACACATTCATTCACACACATACACCACAGACAATTTAACTAACCCATTTCACCTGTAACTCTTGTCTTTGGACTTTGGGGGAAACCGGAGAACCCGAAGAAAACCCACGCGAAGACATGGAGAACATGCAAACTCCACACAGAAACGCCAACTGATCCAGCTGAGGCTCGAACCAGCAACCTTCTTGCTGTGAGGTGACAGCACTACCTACTGCACCACTGTGTCGCCGGTAATATATATGTGTGTGTGTGTGTGTGTGTGTGTGTGTGTGTGTGTGTGTGTGTGTGTGTGTGTGTGTGTGTATTTAGTCATTTATTTACAAAGATATAGTGACTTTTAAATGTATTTGCAAAATGTGCAAATAGGACTATAAAAACAGACTTTATGTTCTCATTCATTCATTTTCATTTAGCTTAGTCTCTTTATTCATCAGGGGTCGCCACAGCAGAATGAACCACCAACTTATCCAGCATATGTTTTACACAGCAGATGCCCCTCCAGCTGCAACCCAGTTCTGGGAAACATCCATACACACTCATTCATACATTTGGACACAGGGAGAACATGCAAACTCCACACCGAAATGCCAACTGACCCAGATGGTGCTCAAACCAATGACCTTCTTGCTGTGAGGTGACAGAGCTAGCCACTGAGCCACCGTGCTGCCCTTTCTTCAATTTGTTTATGTAATTTCTTATTAATAAAGGGGAGGAAAAGTTTTTGCTCAATGTAAGCTGTTGTTTATGTCATTTGTAGCTAATAAGCTTTGTATGATTTTGGAAAAACTGACTACAGCTTACACCCCTTTTCCCTTCAGTTTTAGTTTTTGTCATTTACATGTCATTCAATGTGACCTGCCAAGAAGCGTTGTGTAAACATTGTTCATTCATTCATACATTCATTCATTTTCTTTTTGGCTTAGTCCCTGTTTTATTCTGGGGTCGCCACAGCGGAATGAACCGCCAACTCATCCAGCACATGTTTTACGCAACGAAGGGAACCTGTCACTGGGAAACATCCATACACATTCACTACGGACTATTTAGCTTATCCAATTCACCTGTACCGCATATCTTTGGACTTGGGGGAACCAGAGCACCCAGAAGAAACCCACGCCAACATGGGGAGAACATGCAAACTCCACACAGAAACGCCAACTGACCCAGCCGAGGCTCGAACCAGCGACCTTCTTGCTGTAAGGCGATTGTGCCACCCACTGCGCCACCGTGCTGCTTCATGTAAACATTGTCCTATTTATTAATTTGTAAAAATAAACATATAAAATATTAATTTGTCCATGCATCTGTATCTCATCACTAGAATCATAAATGAAGGTCAAAGAGCCACAGCAGGGATTCTTCAGTGTCAACAACTAAAGGCTGTGAGTTGTGAAATCAAGCATGCATAACTCCATCTACTGGAATAATAATGCAAAGACTGTGCATAAGACATTTAAAAATGGAAATATGTAGAATTAAAAGCATTTATTTATTTATTTATTTATTTATTTGTTTGTTTATTATGGAACTCACATTCTAAAGTCAGGGGATGTATCTATATGTATATCTGTCTGTCTGTCTATCTATCTATCTATCTATCTATCTATCTATCTATCTATCTATCTATCTATCTATCTATCTATCTATCTATCTATCTATCTATCTATCTATCTATCTATCTATCTATCTATCTATCTATCTATCTATCTATCTATCTATCTATCTATCTATCTATCTATCTATCTATCTATCTATCTATCTATCTGTTTGTCTGTCTGTATGTCTGTCTGTCTTTCTGTCTGTATATCTATCTATATACATAGTTGAAATCAGAATTATTAAACTCCCTGAGTTATTAGCCCCCCTGTTAATTTTTTTCCCCAATTTCTGTTTAATGGAGAGCAGATTTTTTCAACACATTTCTAAACATAATAGTTTAAATAACTCATCTCTAATAACTGATTTATTTTATCTTTACTATGATGACAGTAAATAATAGACATTTTTCAAGACACTTCTATACAGCTTAAAGTGACATTTAAAGGCTTAACTAGGTTAATTAGGTTAACTAGGCAGGTTAGGGTAATTACGCACGTTATTGTATAAAAAAATGGTTTGTTCTGTAAACAATAAAAAAAATAGTTTAATGTGGCTAATAATATTGACCTTAAAAAGTTTTTTCTTTTTTTTTTTTAAATTAAACTACTTTTATTCTAGCCAAAATAAAACAAATAAGACTTTCTCCAGAAAAAATATATTATCAGACATATTGTAAAAATTTCCTTGCTCTGTTAAACATAATAATATTTTAAAAAAGAAATAAACATTTCAAAGCGGGTTTAATAAATCTGACTTCAACTGTATATATACAGTTGAAGTCAGAATTATTAGCCCCCCTTTGAATTTCTTTTGCTTTTCGAAATCAAAAGATAACAGAGCAAGGAAATTTACACAGCATGTCTGATAATGTTTTTTCTTCTGAAAAACGTATTATTTATTTTATTTAGGCTAGAATAAAAGCAGTTATTAATTTTTAAACACCATTTTAAGGACAAAATTATTCTCCTCTAAGCTATTTTTTTCGATAGTCTACAGAACAAACCATCGCTATATAGTAACTTGCCTAATTACCCTAATCTGCCTAGTTAACCTAATTAAGCCCAGTTAAACCTTTAAATGTCACTTTAAGCTGTATAGAAGTGTCTTGAAAAATATCTAGTGTAATTTTATTTACTGTCATCATGGCAAAGATAAAATAAATCAGCTATTAGAAATGAGCTATTAAAATCTAGTCTGTGTTAACAAAAATTGGGCAAAAAAATAAACAGGGGGTCCAATAATATATATATATTATTATTATTATTATTATTATTATTATTATTATTATTATTATTATTACTGACGATATTTCTTCCCAATTTAAAATTTAAACGTTGTAATTTTTATAATACCACTTTTTGCAAAAAATAACAAAAGGGTGCCATGTTTTCAGACATGTTTATATTCATGATTTCAAACTATTTTCCAACTTCATAAACAGCAACAACAACAACAACAAAAAGAAATGTTGATTTCCTTCGCAACAAATTTAAAAAAAAGCTTTTTTTTGACCATTTGTAGATTCCAGGAAAAAGCACCTTTTTATTTAATATAAATATTTTACTCTAAGCAATACCTAACAAATCCAGACCCAAAGAAGTTTTTTTTTCCCACAATTTACTTATAATTAGCATTTACAGATAGCACAGAGTACATAAACTGTAAAGTTTCATGCATATAAACAAACACATACTATAAGCAAAAGGAAAAAATAACAAGAAAAAAAAATATGCTATATATGGTATGTACATAAACATATAGACAAAACAATGTTATTTATTCATTCATTTTCCTTTGGCTTAGTCCCTTTATTCAACATGGGTCGCCAGAGAGGAATGAACCGCCAAAATATCAAGCAATTGTTTGACACAGCTGATACCCTTCCAGCTGAAACCCAGTACTGGGAAACACCCATATAGCGCATGTGTTCGGACTAGGGAGCGGACCGGAGCACCTGGAAGAAACTCACGCCAACACGGGGAGAACATGGCAACTCCACACAGAAATGCCAACTGACCCATCTTGGACTCAAACCAGCGACCTTCTTGCTGACAGTGCAAACCACTGAGTTACTGTATAACAATATGTTATGTACATTAAAGTATAGATAGAATATTTTTTATTTATCTTAATGTTTTTCAAAGCAGCCAAACACTGTACACTTTAATGTAAGCTTCATTTGTTTGTTCATTTGTCAATTGTCAAGATTTAAAAGCAGTTCAGTTGATGAGATTTAACAGGCTGTTTCTGATATGATTTCTAGTTCAGCCACTAGAGGGCCTCCTCACACAGAGCCATATTGTTTGTTGTCATGCGATGAAGCAGCGCCTGATCCAAACAATACCTCCATTCACCACTTTTTAAACTAAACTCACTCCAGTAAACATTCAACGGAAAAAGTGCTAAGAAATGCATTTTTACACATAATACATCCACATGTATAACGCAGTGCAGTTTTAAGAAAGAAAGAAATGCTTTATAAAGTGTATACATCACAGATGACCTCTTTAGCTTATATATATACATACATACATACATACATACATATATATATATATATATATATATATATATATATATATATATATATATATATATATATATATATATATATATATATATATGTGTGTGTGTGTGTGTGTGTGTGTGTGTGTGTGTGTGTGTGTGTGTGTGTGTGTGTTTGTGTGTGTGTGTGTGTATATGGCAGTGGTTAGCACTGTTGCTTCACAGCAAGAAAGTTCTAGTCCCGGCTGGGCCAGTTGGCATTTCTGAGTTTG